CTTACAATTGTGCATTTTCTTTAATGCTATTGGGTTTTACAGAGATAACACTTGTAATTATTTATATGTCAGTAATAGAAAAATAAATAAATAAACAATAAAAAGGATAAAGGAACTATCAACAAAGTGCAACATCGAAAGAAAAATTCATCAATCATATTATTAAAGAGGACAACAAACTGCAAGCTGGTTTTCATTAAAAGTAATTGTTCTCCTCTAACCTGGAGCATTAATGTCTCGGGTCTCTAAATGTAGCTGGCTGTGAGACGAGTGTGCAAGCACTGTTTGCAAAGTACAACACTAAGAGTAATATTCTCATTGTACAAGTTGGACAAAGGAGCAAAGTGACATTCGGAACTAAATTGTGTGCACATCAATGTTTCTGCAAAATTTAGGCGCCCTCGGGTGTTGAAGAACGGAATCACATGTTAATCTATTCTGTTAATCTATTCCTGAGGACAATGAAAGTAGGAAATAACCCCTAAACTGAAAATTTTCGTGCAGAATTATACTACATGTATACTTAAAAGTAGTACTTATTATTTCAAATACTAATGTTACATTTTGCTCTATTTTCCTTTGACTGTAATAAGATGGAAGATAACAATGATAACACAGCAGCTGGAGAGGGAGGAGAAAGTGAAACCAATTCTGTGACAAAGAACAAAGGTAATCAGAATTTTTTTAAAGAACATTTGTTAAAAATGTTGATGATACTACTGATTTGATAGTTTAAACTTCAGTTGTTTTTGTAATTTTTGTTTGTTTGTTTAAGAAAAGCTTTATACAGCTTCAACAACGCCGTTTTTATAATCTGTAGTGTAATCTACTGATGTTCTTGTGTTTGTTTCAGAGCTGCCTAAGCTCACACTTTTGTTAATTGGTGACTCAAACTCCATTGAGATTGGACCAAAAAACGTCTTACTTGACCATGAAAAGAGAAGAAACGTGGAAGAGTTTTCATCCAAACTGTGTGATTTGTGTGGTCGACACATCTCTGTCATTAACATGCTTGGTTTAGAAAACATTGAAGAATTCCCGGTAAACCAGGGAAATCATGCCTTTCTATTACTGTTACCATATGGTCTGCATAACAGCCATTACAGCTCGAGAGTTCCGCAGCTAGAAAGAGCTTTTGGGAAAAGATCGCTTCTTAATGTAATGACAGTTGTGACTCATAAGCCAGGTGAAAAATGTGAAAGTGCACTGGCAGACCTGAAAGCTCACAGCGGTTTTAATGAAAAAAGATTCCACACATGTACAAGATGCATGACAGATGCCAACGACATAATAGATCTGTTAGAAAAAATAGATGTCATGGTCTCTGAGAACAAATGCTGCAGTGAACGTGAAGAGCAGAGAGAACACCTGGACTGCAAATGTGACAAGGAAATAGGGATCAGACATGGTGAGATTTTAATGTGTATAACTGGATTAATTATTATATTAAAGCGAGGATTTGAACATTTTTGAAAAAAGTTTGGTAATTATATTTGTAGTATTTGGGTTTTTGAGGGAATGCTGTATTTCTTTTTAATTTTATGAACACTTGATCCTGAATTTGTCCTCTTGTGGAGTTATGTAATAATGACGTGAGATCTTATCACATTTTACAACTTTAATCTCAGCTTCACTCAGCTGGTTTCACAAGGTGGCAAAACATATCTTAGAACCCAGAAACATTATTCCTCCCACTTTCTTTCTTGCTGGGTGTGAGTGGAGTCCCCTGGTGGTCTGCTACATTCTCACAATGCTTACTAAATGAAAGGGTTTTTTTTTTTTGTTTTTTGTTTTTTTTTTAATTATTATAGTTTTTGTGTTTTGTTTTAGTTTGGTTTTTGTTTATTTTTTTCCTTCAAATGGGAATAAAATTAAAAAGCAGCTTCACTGCTGATCACAAACCACATACAAAATAATTAAGGACAAGACAGAAACTAATCACAGAATAAGGACTCAGGGTAATTAGAAATAAGCCAAAAGCACATAAGACAAAAGACTGTCAAAATAAGACATGAAATAACTATCACTGAGACCAGGCCTAAGACAGAATCTAAACCATCACAGACAGCACACTAGAAGAACAGAATGAGAATGCAAGAGGTGATTAACAAACATATTGTCAATTAGGTGAGGAACTTAAGGCACAGAAACCGGGAAATTAATAAATATATAAGGACTATAAACATCACACCATAATAACTAAGAAATAACACAAAAATAAATAACAATACAAACACTACACAAACATGATTAAGAATCCAAAGCTAGAGAAAACTCAAAATATCCCCAAACCTAAAACTCTTGGTCCAGTATTTTTTAAATATTTTGTAAAGACTTGATTTGTCTTTTCACAAAGTGCTCTATATCTGCAATAACATCATATAACTTACACAATTAATGAATACTGCAAAAGGAAAAAAATTAAAGGGTCGGTTGGATGAGAAAATTTCAACATATAAATGAATATATAGTAGGTGACTCTTGTGTTATAAAACTATGCAATGACCTGGTCCAATCTTTTTCTTCTTACATAATCCTTCATCAGAAGAGAGGGAGAATCTGACTGAAAATCTAAAGGTAAGATTATTTTTTTTCATGTACTTCACATTCATTACAGCAATAAAAAAATTTAAAGCCCTTTTAGTTCAGACTTTTTCTAACTGAAAAGTTCCAGCTTTGAAAGATAAAATTTGGAACTTTGCATATTTTTACTATACTGTTGTTGCTGTCTGTCCTGTTGATCTTAATTTTTTTTTTTTTATGTACATGGAGGGTCTTTCCGTACACTAAAAAAAGAGCATGTTGGATTTATTTAATTCTATAGTGGACATTGGTTGCACACAATTGTTTTGCTTTAGCAGAAACATAAACAACTTAGTCAAATCAACACAAATTATTCATATTAAATAAACCTGTGCATTTTTTGTTGATGAAACGGGATTGAAACATATTTAGATGAAGCAAGTTGAGGTCTTGGAATATTTTCATCCATCACAATTTTGTAATTTTATTCCAACACTATTCAATAACCTTTACCCCAATACTACTTGTTAGAGCCAATCTATAGAGAAATATTTTTGATACGGTTTCCGTTCTTATGTTACATGTTTGATTTTGTATAATATGTTGTTAGAGAATATATGCTGCATGTTTGATTTGTGTCGGGTAGGAAAACATTACGGCGCATGTGTGGTAGCAGGTCAGAATGAGCCAGGACAGCAATGGAAATGTGAGCTGCAGCAGCAAATAGTTTTTTGACCGTGACATCATTTGTTTGTATGTACGAGTCAGAAATAAATCTGGACAGCTCACATTAAGAAGTGGAAGAATTCTTTTTTCAAAGCTTGAGACAGAAATTTGCCACTACATTACTTGGCCACTTAAATACTACATGTTGTCTTTATATTACTTAATGTTGAACAAAGTCTAGAGTGTGGTTAACATAAAAAGCAATTGGATTTACAATGACTACCATCCTATCTTTATCCGGGTTGCAGAGGGGCTGGGGCATATCCCAGAAGTGAAAGGTTAAGAGGCAGGATACACCCTGAACAGTTTACCAGTCTATCACGTAGAGACAAACAACCATTTGCACTCACATTCATGGGCAATTTGGTATCACCAATTAACCTAGTTCTAATTTCATGACTTTTAACTGTGGGAGGAAACCAGAATACCCAGAGAGAACCCACTGCAAACTAGTGAGAATGTGGATTTGATCTTCTTGCTGTGAGGCAATAGCACTAGCCACCATGCCACCAATCCAGGCTTAATGAAGTATGAAAGCTATGATTTCTGTACGTTTTTGTCCTTGACAGGTTAAACCACAATAAATAGCGATAGCATACATTTGGTGTGTGTAGTTCTCTGCCACTTACAACTCGAGTGATTTTCCTGCAGTTTAAAATCTCATGTGATCTTGTGAATTTCACGAGTCCAGCAACTAACCACTCTGACTAGATTGTATCATGTCATCTAAACAAGAACAAATTAAGTTGTTGAATTTCTTATGGATCCTACATGATTTAATTATGTTCACCATAGAAACGTGAAATTATATTGTTCAAATTACAAGTTAAGACTTTTGTAAATGTAACAACCACCCAATGTCCTTTTTCGGTATACCGAAAAAAGTGCTGCTCGACTTGACTGAGATGGATGCCTTCCTCAAACCACAATCCAAAGTGCGTGAGATGAAATCACATGCAGTGTTGCAAGATTTAACATTCCTATATTATTGACTTACTTCACTCGAACATGATATGAACAATTCAATATACCCTCTCTGCATATCATGTAGTTTCTACACTATATAGTTACACTTAACTTTAAAGCATGAGGCACTTGTGCTGAATAAACGCAAGATGCTTACATAAATCCAAGAGATGGCCATTCTCTTTCATCATCTGCTGCTAATAAACATCCAACAAGTTCACTGTGAATCATTCCGGTTTGCTGATAAATGCATGATTTTATGTATGTATATTGGGACAGTGAACCCCCAGTGGCTCCAGCAGATCCCAGGAACAACATCTGAAGTCTCTGTCCAGAAAACCTTTCTTAGCCCTTGGTTTTTGTTGACCTTCTCACATCCCTTCTTCTGATGTTGCTATTACTTGGCATTGCTACATCAATCACAACAACCTTCTTACTCTGGTTTTCCACCACTACATATGCTGGATCTATTTTTTTTTCTGTCCACTCTGGTGCTGTAATAATGTGAATTGTCCAAGTGTTGGACTAATGAAGAATAAACTTAAGTTGTTTAAAATAATCCTTTTCATAGTGTGAGTCTTTGAATGGACCTGGAGTTGCTGGACACTCCCAGCAGAATGATGGCAGCGCAGGGGGAGAAGGTGGACACAAGACTGTATCAGCTGAAACTGAGGAGAAAGGTAACATCTTATTGAAGAATTACATTGCATGCTTACTAATTCAAAGGTTTTGTTTTTTTCTTTAACTTGTTTTTTTTTCCATATGGTAGAACTTACTGCTCTTGCTGTAACAGAATGAGGCAACAGTGTAGAGTTGGATGTTATTCTAGTCGTTGCCCTCTTCTGACCCCGGAGTTTGTATCATAGCCAGTATAAAAGATTGATGTAGTTTCGAGGTCAGAAAAATGAAGCCATTTTGAAAGTGCCTTAAACCATTTTCTAGCTGAAGACCTCTAATGGCAGTTGCTGTTGTTGCAAATAGACTTCCTGTTTCATTGATCTGTAGGAAATGGCTTTCTGTCTTGGCGGTTTGGCAAACAACTTGTCAATCTCAATTCATTACTAGAAAAGTGTGTGGTTTCGTAGTCATCCCCATCCATTCATATCACATCCAGGTTTTTGCAAATGAAATGCAACAAGTTTGCAAACAATCATCTTGAGCCTTCAAAATGGGACTTCTGAAACCAGTGGGCGAGATCCCAGTAGCTGTATCCATCTTTTTTACTGAATATAGTTTTCGTGCAGTTGATATTATGAGGTTTGTACCCCTTAAAAACATAGCAGAGGAAAGATGGCACTCTCTTCTGAATTTCTGAATTACAACTGCAAGCTATTTTTAAAATCAGTGATTTTCATGAAAGGGTGTATCCTTGGCAGCATGGTGAATTTCAATGTTTCACCATGAATTATAAAACTTTTCTGTGCTCTGTCGAATCTGCACTAAAATTCATAAACATGATGAGGGTCTCGTCCCAAACAGATTGATATGCTCGTTATCAGCAATAAGTTAGAGTGCCACCTAGTGGGAACGGAAAATGTAATTATTAGTGTGGATGCTGATTAAGCATCCACAATATTGTTCTTGTATTCTTTACTTTTATCATTATATTTAATACTTTGATCCACAGCTCCTTCCAGGTTAAACACATCTGACTCAAAAGTGGTCTGAACATCAGACCCTGATGATGCTTCAAGATTTTAATTTTGAGTTTTGATTGAACGGTATACCCTGGCGGTTTTGCACTTCTCCATGAAAAGGGAAGCAGTTTTTGTGGGTCTTAGACAGCTTGAAACGCCATGAAATTTGGCACACGCCTCGAATGTAATGAACATTTTAGCTTTTATTGCTCTGGTAATTGAATATTGGAAAATGGCTCCATTAAACCATCTATAAAATCTTTAAACATCTGCACCTGCACTAACTTCCATCTATGACTCAGAAATTTTGCAGCCTTGGAGCCATAAAAGCACATTAAAAATAATGTGAAATTTTGGTTGCAATTTTCACAGTTTTCAGACCTCATTTTAAACTAATACTCTTTGAATTAAAACTCCTCCAAGGAATTGCATCAGATTAACATGATCTTTGGTGCCACCAATCTAAAGATCTTGGGGATATTAAATTGCAAAGTTTTTGAGCTGGTGTGGCAGCATGTTGAATTTCAATCATTCACCACAGAACACGACATTGTCAAATCCCAATTATACATTGTCCAATATGATCCAAACTTTACATACTTGATGGGAGTCTGAGTCTCAAAACATCTATGTATCAGTATTAGGTCACAATTATTGTGGCACCTAGTGAAGATAGGAAATATAGAGTGAGTTATGGTCATCATCCAATCTAGATGAAATTTGAAATGCTGATTCCATCCATGATGCACACCAATGTGACATTTGATTAGTATCTACATTTCCATCTACCGGGCATAAAAATGTTTATGGTTTGTTGTGTTGCAAGGGCCTTTTAATCACTGCTTTCAGCTTCATTCGTCTTGTTTTTACTTCAGAGCACTGTAAAGCTGTAGGGATCATTTCAGAGCTTCCTTCTCAATTGTTGTTTTAGCAAAAGGCTTGGTATTGGCTATAAAGCATCAAATATTAGAAAGACAATGCAAAGCAGATGGGTTTGATAAGCATATGCATAGACACCCCACAACTGCACAATCTGGTCATAAATTCTGAGTATTGTGCTGTCATCTTCTTTTAACAGACTAGAGCTGCTTACACTTGTCAACTCTTTTTTCCCTTGTGTTTCTTGGGCCAATTAGTTTGTTTCTTAGTTCCATCATGGAGCCTGATTCATGCAGTCTGCTCAGAAGAGGTCAAATATAACTGATGGTCACAACATGATAAGAAGAAAAAACAAAAACAGAAAAAATAGTAGATGTCTTCAAACTTTGTACTGTTAATACTTCCATGGTGAATTAATCTCTTTCTCTCCATGTCATAATTAAATCTGTTGTGCAGGTGCCTTCAAGGATGTGAGTGGAAACAAGGATAAGGTCAGAAACATATACTATTTTGCATGATGTTAGTGATAAAATGTTATAATTTCTGCCAATTAGTAAATTTCATTTTTTTAAACTACAGACTTTTAATATTTCTGATGAGAGGAACAGTCAACGATTTCAAGCAGAAAGTGAAACACTGCTCAGAAGACTCAACCTTCAACACAAACAACAGAAAATGTCACCAGCAGACTTTCTTAAATTAGGCCCTCCTGTGAAACAGGGCCATGACACATCTGAGAAAGATCTAGCTCATACATTTATTCAAAGGTTGATGATGTTAGACTACAGAGCCAGACATATTCAGGTAAAACAAGACAATCCTGATTTGAGTTGTTCACAGTCTGTTCCAGTGTCTGACAGTGAAGACTTTGATGATCTATTTAGTGACAGTGTAGACTCTGATAACTCAATACAATCTCATGTGCATCCAATGGATGTTCAGATGGCAGTATTTCACTGTTCAGATAACTTTCTGAAGCAGAACCTAGTTACAAAGCTATCACAGTGTCAGTACGCCTTACCTTTGCTTGTCCCTGACCCAGTCACTATGGATACTGAATGTCCTCTGTGGACATTCAGGCAAATAACAAAAACATGGAAGATAGCTAAAATCAAAGATAATTCAAATGTTGTCAACATGAAGACAATGCCCATCTGCAAAGCTGAGACACCCATGGTGTTTTTCTTTCGCTTGGGTTCACTGCCAGTGTCAAAATCTCAGCTCATGAACACTTTGATCAATGACCGTCACAGCACCTTCTTCCACAGGAACTGTCCAGGTAGCACCAAATCTCGCCTGCTGATGGATGGTGTGGCAGAGATTGCCTGGTACTGTCCAGCCGGAAAACCCAATGACTCCTTTACAGACTGCATTGCCTTTTGTAATCTTCATGGTGATGCTCTGTCATTTGAAAAACAGCATAAGATACTGACAGAAAAATCATCAGTCACTGTTGTTCTTGTGCCAACTCTGGAAAAAGGCCAGAAAAGTACCACAGTAATCCAAAACCTTTACAAGTCACCAAAGCCTTTGATTATTCTCATTGCTGATAATGATTGTGGTGCTCTTCAAGTGAAAAAGAGAAAATACAAAATGGGTCTGAAAGACAGAAGCCAGTCAGATGTTTCTGAAGGATTGAAAGGAATTATCAGAAAGATTTTACATGAACCTGATAATACATCCTTCCAGCTTGAATCCTTGGCCAAAGTCCCTGGAGTCACAGTGGATGAAGATGATGAAGTCTGTCAAAAAGGGAAATCAGCTGCATTGAAAACAGTTAATATGCTTCAAGGGATGGACATTTCAAAGATCAAAGTTACATTTCTACCTTGTCAAGGCGATCTGTGGCATGAGTGGTGCAGAATAAATAAAGAGCTGTATCACCTTAAAGAAAACATTGAGAAGGAAAAAAGTCAGAAACAGCAGCAGCTGAATAAAATAAGACAAAATCAGTGCCAAGCTTCATGTAATGTACTGATGAAGTCATTCACAGAAAGCCTCTTGTCTTTGCGATCAAAAGAGAAGGAGTACTTCCTGAAATGGAATCAAATCTTAATAGATGCCCTATCCACAGATGATCTCTCTTTGATTCTTCAAAGCTATGATGAAAAGTGGACTGAGGTCTTGACTCTGAAGAAGAAACACGACAAATCTGATCTGTTAACAACCAAACAAACAGAGCTTGAACAAATCTCCAAAAAACTGCAGTCTGCAACCTTTGGCCTGGAGCACATCTTCAGAGAAATGGGACAGATCTATGAAGCCCACAGAGAAATACCAGCAGAGAGCAGAGCAGTAAAACCAAAACATACAAACACTGAGTGGGTTAAATACCCTGAACTGGCTGCAGATCTGATGATTTCAGGACACCCAGTGGAGCTGATGGATGGTGATGCAGGTCATGTGCCTCTAACATGGATCTCTAGTCTTTTAGATGAAGTTATCAAGAAACTAGGCGACCAGAGAGTTTTTGTGTTGTCAGTTTTGGGCCTACAAAGCAGTGGAAAATCAACAATGCTGAATGCCATGTTTGGATTGCAGTTTGCAGTGAGTGCAGGCAGGTGCACCAAAGGTGCCTTCATGCAGCTGGTCAAAGTGTCAGAGGAAATCAAGAAAGACTTCCAGTTTGACTATTTTCTAGTGGTGGACACTGAAGGACTTCGTGCTCTTGAGCTGGCAGGAAATACTACTCGTCATCACGACAATGAACTAGCAACATTTGTTGTTGGCCTAGGAAACATAACACTGATCAACATCTTTGGTGAGAATCCAGCTGACATGCAGGATGTCCTGCAGATTGTTGTTCAGGCTTTCATGAGGATGAAGAAAGTTAAACTTTCTCCCAGTTGTGTGTTTGTTCACCAGAATGTGACAGATATCGCAGCTACTGAGAAAAACATGGATGGGAAAAGACGCCTGCAAGAAAAACTGGACCAGATGGCTCAGCTAGCTGCTAAAGAGGAATCATGTGATGCTGAGTGTTTTGGTGATATCATTTCCTTTGATGTGCAAACAGATGTGAAATACTTTGCTCAGTTATGGGAGGGAAGTCCACCGATGGCTCCTCCAAATCCAGGCTACAGTGAGAGCATCCAAGAGCTGAAGAACATCATCCTGTCTAAAGCTAAACAATTTGCTGGCGTAAAACTGTCCCATTTCAAAAGCAAAATTCAAAACTTGTGGAACGCCCTGATGAATGAGCACTTTGTTTTCAGCTTCAAAAACACATTGGAAATTGCAGTTTACAGAAAACTTGAGGTTGAATATGGAAACTGGACCTGGGCCCTGAGGAGCAACATGCTGACTATTGAAAACCAGCTTCACACCAGAATTGAAAATGAAGAACTTGACAAAATTAAGCATAGTGATATTTTTAAAGAAATGAGCAAAACATCTGAAAAAATCAAGAAAGATATGTCAAAGTACTTTGAGGATGACAAAGACAACGAAATACTGGTTCAGTGGAGAGGCCAATTTGAAAATAAAATAAAGGAGTTCCAAGACGAACTGGTGAGAGGAGTGGAAAGAAAACTGGATGAAGTTATTCAGCAGAAGAAAGCTTGTAAAAAGCTGGATGATAAGAAGACAGACTTCGAGGACAAGCTGCTACAAAAGAGTGAAGAGCTCGCTCATCAGTTAAAAGACAAAGCAAAAGATGAAGAGAAACTTAAAAAACAGTTTGATGGTGTTTGGAGTGACTTGGTGAGAGAATTAACTACAAATATGCAACCCATTAAGGACATCAATCTTGAAGATGACCTGGCAAATATCCTTCATATCCTTGGTTTCGAATGGGGTCTTATAATTGACTCTAAAAAGAGTAGCAAATACAAAACAATATCCCAGGTCAGTGATTACACTGAATACGTAGTCCTTCGCAAGCACCAAAACACAAGAGGACAGGGGTTTGCCAGCCAAATGTATGCATATATTGAAGATAAAACTGAAAAACTAAAGTGTCACTTTAAAGGACTTCTTGAGCATGGGGACCAGGGACTGATCATATCACTAATAACCAGTGTTGAAAACCAGTCTCTTCATGAAATTATGAAGAAACCTGTAGCAACAAGAGGCTACAGTTCAGCTTACTTACAAGAAGTGGCCCAAAATGTTCAGCGGACAGTGACAGAGTTTGAACAAAACAAGAAGTATGCTTTCAAGAAGGAGTTCACAGTTGATCTCCTACTGTATGTATTTGACAGGGCAGCCACTTGGCTTTCAGAGTCTCACAAAATATTCACAGTGAAAAATGATGCACACACTTACTTGGAGAGTAAAAAACCACAATACTACAACATTTTTAGAAGCTTCTGCAAAGGAAACTCATCTGCTGTTGTGTTTGGAGAAATGATCTGTGAAAAACTGAAGGTTTCCATTGTTGAGGCTGTTTGTAACAAGACTGCCATTGATCTCGCTGGAAAGATGAAGTGCAGCTACCCAGCATTCAGTGAGAACAGACTGAACTTAGAGAAACATTTGTTGAAGTCCCTTGCAGAGAAAGAGGACTTTGATGCTTTCATCACCTACATCAGAAATCCAAAGAAGCAAGTACAAGCTTTTATCAAAGCGAGAGTAAACACATACATGTCCGGAGAATCAAAAGATGCAGCATTGGATATACTCAGGAAAAATGTGGAGGACATCAACAAACTTGTCAGTCAAGCTTTATTTGATGCAACAAATCAAGTCACAACACAGAACGGAGACATTTACATGTGGGTTAAGGAGTTTTCCAGGTTCCTTAAAGATAAACTGACCCTTGGTACCATCTCTTGTCAAAACTTTGGGGACATAAACAATTTTGACTTTCTTAAAGAAGAGATTGAGAAAGGTCTTATATCCATCAAAGAGGAGATGAATCGGCTTTCCCTGGATAAGATAAAGGAATTCAGACTGAGACCTGATCAAATCCTCATTGATCAGCTGTGTGACTGTTGCTGGGAAACCTGCCCGTTCTGTAGAGCTGTTTGTACCAACACTATGGAAGATCATGTGATTAAGGACAAAATTGATCACAGTTGCCCCTTTCATCGATCTAAAGCAGTCAATGGTGTGCATTACAGAAACACTAAGGAAATTAGTATTAATTTCTGCACAACAGAAGTTGCAAGTGATAGAAGCTTTTACCCAGATGGAGTTTCAGAAGAGCTTTTTCTTTATAAAGAGTACAGAAAAGCTGGGCCGAGGTTTGCTAACTGGAGCATTACTCCTGATGAGTATACATCGAAGTACTGGATATGGTTTGTTTGCAAATTTAAGAAGAGGCTAGAAGAGCACTATGGTTTAAGTTTCACAGGACGTGGTGAGATTCCCCCTAAATGGACAGAATTCACTAAAGAAGAGGCTATTCAAAGTCTGGATGAAATGTACCGTACACGCTGAATGAGTCAGCACATTTTCAACTCTGCTGAAAATCACAAAAGCTGTTCTCAGTTGATTATTCACAAAATGGATAATGATTACATATAATATTGATTTAAACATTTAATGTGAAGAATCAATAAGTGATTAAACTGGTAAAAAGAAAACTGCTTCATAGACATAAACACACAGGCAAGAATATTGGAACAATAATCATTTTGAGAATGCAGTGAGAAATATGTCAATGTTAATATTAAATCACTGTGTAATCAACAAAGTTTGTGATTAGGAAATTTTTCTCGTGTAGGAAAAGCAGAAGAATTTTTTTATTTATTTTTGAAGAAAAACACAAAGAGCGCCAATGAAATTATTGTATGTAAGGATGGTTTAAAATTGTATTTAATCATATCTGAAAATTTTTAACTTTAGCTCATGCAGAATACATGAATAGTGTTCTTCATACCCTATTTTTTTGATATTGTATGGAAGTTATATTAGTTTGCTAACTGGCTTATGTAATTTGAAATCACACCAATATTTTCTTGAGTGTTTCAGTACTGAAAATCCTATATTGTCTATATCCTTGAATGTTTTTGTATTTGCATTTTAAATTAGCCTGATTTTTAAAAAAATTAACACGAACAGAGAGATATTATATGCTTCTGATACATTAAAGCTATTTTTCTGCTGCTCCTGTCTCACAAGGGTTCACTGCACCAAATAGCTCCTCATGCTTGATTTTGGTTGAGGTTTAAGCCAGATGCCTTTCCTTGTGCAACCCTGAAAGGGTCTGTAGCTGGAAATGAACCAACAACACTTTTGTTTGTCAAACAAATGTGTAGATCACTACACAATGGAAATATTTTCTCTCAATTTAACATAGCTGAACATTACACTGAAATTGAGATTATTTACCTGGTGGTACATCCGTAATAAATGTGCACTGAGAAAAACTGAAGTGCCTCAGCATCTGCCAGACTGACCCCACAGCCAGTGATCTATCTGTGCAGCATCTATCCATTTTCTTAACTGCTGGTCTGATTCAAGGTCATGTGTTGCACCATACATACAGAATATTAGAATATTTGTTGGAAAGCATACCTTTAATGACATGTTTTGGTAAAAACATTTGGAGATTTTTCTTTGGTTATAACTGCAATGTAATTATCAGACTGATAATAAAGAGATGATGTTCTATTCTTCAAGTCGCTGATCGTCTGTGTCTTTTATCCAATATGTACAAAGCTATCACAGTTTACCTATAACTATAAATACATGATCTTAGTCACAGATGATAACTGTGGTGGAAGATTTATTTGCTGATGTCTTGATCACATATTTTAACTATATCACTTTAGTAATTATAGAATCACTACAAATGGAACTTATGCTCGATCCAACATACACAATGGGCTCGCTCGGGCCACTTTGGGGGTGGGGTGCCCTCGGCCTCTCAGCCTGGGGCTCAGTCGGTCACTCTGGCACAGCTGGCTGCCGGCGGAGCTCACGGGCACGTCACTGCAAGCTTCTCGGATGAGAGGTGAAACGTCTTCAAGTAACTTAAAGAAGTCCAGACGCTTTTCTTTGCGAGCTCCTTTGACTAAGATGACCTGGATGACTGAGAACCTTCACAGACCTCTAGCAGATCATTACATGAAGGAACCTTTTAAAAACAAGCGTGCTCATGCTCACAGGTGTACACACGGGTGCTAACACACACAAACTACACCCTTTTTGGCTCCTACCTCTAAGCACACTGTGCACTGTCGATCTTACGTGCTGCACAATAATGTTTAATATTTAGTATTTACTGTTATATTCACATCGCGATGATGTTGTTTATTATATTGCTCTCTTTTTTTCTTCTGCTTGTTCTCTCTTTTGTCTTTCTCAACAGGTGATCCAGGTGATTGATATATGTATTTTTTGTCTGCTTATTTTGTTGGTTTTTGTTTTTTGCCCTTAACCCCGTCCCTGTTTTTCTTTCCTTTCTTTCTCCCTTTTCTTTTCCCCAGTCAAGTCTGTCCTGTATTTAGCAAGTGAAAATAAAATAAAATAAACAATAAAAGGTGACTCGAATAGACCATTACGGCAAGGCTGGGATGGTTCATTTGGTAAAGTAAATCCGTTGGGCATCTTTCTTCACCTTTACACAATAATTCTGATGGCAAAAGAACCAAACGGGACAGGCAAAAAAGAAAACAAAAACAAAAATAACATACACAATGGGGCCATTGTAAGTTCATGGGAGACATTAAGCGGATAGTAGGGCTCCTTCTGGTTATCAGGGATGTAGATCTCTAGGTGACGGCTAAGCAGAAAACAAGGTCGTAATTCTCTCTCTCAGAGAGCTGAAGGTATAGACTCACTTGATGTGTTGAGGAATTTTCTTTGTCTCTGAGTTTGGTCAAAGCACATAAGACATGAGCAACCGCGCCCATTTTCAGAGACTGCTTAGGTGATTGACCAGAGTCTCTCCATATTGCAATATGTTATCAAACTCACTTCAAATCATGCTCACTGAGGTGTTTGCAGGTTTTATTTAAAATTTCCACAACATAATTCAGCAGGATTCCAATGCCAGATGGCTTTATTGATTTGACTGATATATGATATATTTCAGGGGTGGCCAACTCCAGGACTACTTTTTTGTTTGGAACTTAAAAGGCCCACCAATTAACCTAACATGCATTTCAAAAGAAGTTGGAAACCTATGGAGGCACAAGTAACATACAAACTCCACATAGAAAAGTGTTAACCAGGAACCCTCGTGCCCCACATGCATTTTGTATCATTTGGAGCCATTTTTCTCTGCATGTTTACATGACTATAAATAATTAGTTACTGGATTTAGCAAATAACTACTATATGTGCATTTTCTTCTATTGTTCATCATACTTTTACTCTTTCATGCCTCGACATATACTGTGTTTGTAAGAGGCTGCAAAACCTTAAAGATGACAAAACATGATTATTTGACTGTAAACATTTTATATCATTTTGCACAACAGGACATTTTAATCCACTTAAATGTATTAATTTCTCTTTATCTCTTAATGATTCTTCAGTCAATAACTGACTCTTATTGTAAGAATAACATTCAGACAGTCAAAACTCATCTATAACTAAAGTGTTAAACACAGCATCTGTTTACAGTTGTATCTCTTAGCAGATCTTGAAGGATTTCAGTTTAAAGTCTCCTGTGACTCTGATGTAGCTGATGGTACCCATACCAACACGATTTGGAAACTGGACTTCCTGTCCATCAGGAAGTTCCACTTCAAACGTGTCTTCAGCCAGTTTCAACACAATCTGAAACAGAAGAAAAGTTCATAAGCAAACATTTTTTCCAAAACACAATCAAATGCAACCCAACCTTCATCCCCCAGCTTAATATCTGCAAGAATATTAGTGTGTTTTTGTGTTTTATGTGGGTAAACCAAACATCCATTTGATCTAATCAAAAACCTTCTTGTGATATTTATAATACTCAGACACTCAGTACATCATCAATTACTTCGATCACATTCCCTCACCTTGACATCAGCACCCCTCTGTAGAGGGTTGTGAATTTCCCGTTTTTCATCGCCCCAGCAACCAGCAATCTTTGAGTTGCACACCAGCACAGCACCATCAGTGTCATCATGGAAACGAGGATTGAAGTGCAGTGCCAGGTCATCTGCATCACAGCCGAGATCAATCTGGAATCTGTTGATCAGAGGTTGTACAAACTAGGTTTTAATATCAATGGCTTGCAGAGCTTTGAACACATGATCACACAGTGGAGTACAAGATATAATATAATTTGTAAAAGTCCACTTTGTGCTACATTAGATTTTCCTACTGCAGGATTGACAGCATATGTAGCTTTCATTCAGTTTATATCGTGACTGTACTGAAAAAAGAAATGTTATGAGTTTTATTAGCTTACCTCTCTGCATCATGCAGAATTACCCCTTTTATTTTCAGCTCATCTCCGGCTCTCAAATCCACATTCTTCAGTTCGAGTTCCTGAACACATGGTTAGAATATAATCTGAAGAAGTCTTGAGAATGAAATAACTTTGCATTTTCAGTTTTGCAAATAATTTATTAAAGGGTAAAATGTAGTTAATTTGCTGACATGTAGTGGCATACACAAACCTAAGCTTACCATACTCATACTGGTTGCTGGTGAACAGTCCTGGATGATGGAGTGTCAACAGAGGTACAGTCTACCGTGCCGGGAGAAAAAAGGTAAATGGGGTAACTGTGAATTCTAGTTTATTTATGATGCAAGACATGAGTTTTAGTAAGATTCTCTTTTGACACTGACTCATTCAACATCATACTATATTCAGTACAAGCACCACTCTGTTTAATCACCTGCAACAGCAAATTAGTATATGAACAAATTAGTGTGATTTTTGTATTTTTCATTGGTATTAATTTTGCATATTAATGAGGGCCTTCAATATACTGCAGATGACTCTATAACAAAATAATCTATACTAGTGCACCATACCCACGCAATAAGTCTATTTCGCAACAATTGTTTTTGTATGCTTGACATTTAAAATGATCCACAAACAAGATCATTAGTGAAATGTTCACTTTTTCCATCAAAACAGATCTGTAATAATATTATATCTGACAAATTTCATGCAGGTGCAGGTTGACACTCTAACCACAGGATGGCAGTAAAACGCGTAGTCTAAATTAGAAACAAGCGAATCCTGGAAGGACTTTAATTAAATCTGCTAAAATACAATTACAGTGTTTTCATATGAGCTGATGAGAAGTTTAAAATAAATAATCTGTATCATTTACACTGAGGAATATAGAATTATAGACTGTAAGAAAAAACTAGAAAATGATTATCCAGTCCTTCCTTTTGTAATACGTTTTAACAACAACTTCCGTCACCCTGCCGGAAGTGACAAAATAAAGTAAATAGAAGCTGTCTTTAGATCGAGAAGTTGAGATAATTGCGAATAAAAAGGGCGATTCAACAAAAGATATTTTGATTTTATGCACACTAAAGAATATCTTTATGACGACTCTGTGCGACGCCTAAGAAAGGTAAATTGTTAATGGCCTGCTGACGTTTCAGGGGACAACATTAGCTAAATGCACCTGCTATTAGCCTACAGGCTAGCAGCTAATAATCCAAGTTCCTTACTGACCTCGGTCACTGTAATGAAATCTAACAGTGACTGGTTTGTGTGTGAATGCAGATATATTAAGTGCAACAGTTACATTAATTAAAACGTATTTAAATGGTTGTTGTTGGGATGTTAGCATGCACTGCGGGTTACCAGCTGTTTGCTCTGCTCCAGCGTTTCCTCACTGACTCCACAGCGATTAGATTTCCCGCATCAGGAAAGCAAAGCTACCAATTTGGTGATTTTCCGATAGTCCATCTGACTATAAACTACTTTTAAATTCACCGGTAGCTCAAACTCTTAAACGTGTTCTGATTCTCACTCTTTTAATGAGCGTTTCTTTGGTTTCTGATCCCTAGATCCAGTTAAAACCTTTGATTTCTGTTTTATTGTACTCTCTCGCAGGTTTCACAGGGACAGGAGTGACGCTGTCCTGCAATGTTCACAGATATGGACTATGAATTGGAGGAGGACAAACTGTGAGTCATTAATTTCTCTACCCACCCCGCCGAATCACATATGCTTTTCATACATTATAAACATAAATCATTATTAAACATCTAAAACAGTAACTGATAAGGTGAATGCCTTGATATAAATTGTGATATAGATCCCTGATTACAGAATGTCCCAGAATAAGCTGAACAAAATGCTTCAAAGCTCAATTAGTGTGTTTTTTTTCTCTGTCTTAACAGGGGGATACCAACAGTGCCTGGGACTGTGACTCTGAAGAAAGATGCTAATAATCTTATAGGCATCAGCATTGGTGGTGGGGCTCAGTACTGCCCTTGCCTCTACATTGTTCAGGTGCACACAGAATAATTTATTATGACTTTATTTATTAACATGTCATCGATCACCAGATGTTTCTATCATGCTGTAAATGTTATAAGACTGTATCTGTCTCAGTTTGCTGCTGTTTAGCATACGGGTCATTAAAGGCAGCTTATCGCCTCTTATTCAGGAAAAATAACTGTACTTTGTCACGGTACTTTTTAAAATGCGGTTGCTGTTGCTTTGCAGGTGTTTGATAACACACCGGCAGCTTTGGATGGGACGCTGGCAGCAGGTGATGAAATCACAGGTGTGAACGGGAAAGCAGTCAAGGGCAAAACTAAGGTGGAGGTGGCCAAGATGATTCAAGCTGTGCAGGTACACTGACTCTGAAAGTGGGAGGTTATTAAAAACTCAGCATTACTCTACTGACCATAACTGCTATTTAACATTGAATATTACCAGTGTGACAAAAATGCACACAGTTTAGAATAATAATACAGTCATTTTTGCATCTGTAGCTACAAAAACTCTCACCATCTCCATACACACTGAAGAAAAAGATGCATTTGACTGATAGCTTTATTAGCCTTTTCAGATTTTTGGTAGTTGTTGTGATGTGATGATTATTTCCATGGATTATTTTGAATAAACTAATAGTGTCATTGCAGTGAAAATCTTATGACAGCCTTGTTGAAATAATGATGTTAACATGAGCCCTATTATTAAACTCTTGTTTTTAACCTTTTAAACCTAAAGACAGCGACTCTTCATACTCACCCTCACCTCTGATGACCAGTGCCCCATAATGAAGAAAAAAAAGAACCAAACCACAGCTTTACTTGCATGTTGAAACACTGTGTGTCAGTTAAAAGAAATTTTGAAAAGAATTCAAAGATGACTCACTTTTTTATGTCCAGCACAGTCCAACAGTTAGTGAGATATGAGCCCACCTTCCCACTGTAGACAGGACACTGTAGGAGTGACTTCACTGGTTTGCTAAGCTGTGCTGAAGAGGTCGGGACAATAGCCCGTAGCATGTGGCGTACCATCACCAGTGAATAGTGGCGCTGTTGTTTTTGGCATCTTTTGTTCACAACCCAAAAAATTCCATGACTTCCTGCGTGGTGGGATAAAGATGGGGTTCAGTGTGGGATTAAAAGGATTAGGTGGTGTTGCTGCTGCCCGTCACTGAAAATACATTTCACACTTAGCACCATAAATGTTGCACATTATTAATTTTAACTTATCTACTAAGGTGAAATGTAACTTTCTTTGAAGCATGCATAGCAGTGCTTTGTACTGCATTCTTGCATAATCTCAACGAAAGCTAAAACAGTTCTATTTCTTATATTTAGCACTGCTACAATAGATGCTCTTCCTTTCACCATCCTATATTTACATTTATTTATTTATTTGGTTCATTTAACTGTTGATCCTATTTTCACAGGGAGAAGCAGTGATCCACTACAATAAGCTGCAGGCTGATCCAAAACAGGGGAAGTCTCTGGACATAGGTATTTATATTTATGTTACTTCCTTTTGAAGCGTGCACTGCAGTGCTGTGTGCTGCATTCTTGCAGAATCTCAACAAATCGTTTTCACTGCTGCGTTAGTTTGTGTTAAACATTGATATTTTATGTGTTTCAGTGCTGAAAAAAGTCAAACATCGACTCGTAGAGAATTTGAGCTCAGGAACAGCGGATGCTCTTGGACTCAGTCGAGCTATTCTATGCAATGGTAAGACTGCTAGGATGGTAACTGCAGGTTTGTTCATATCTACTTAGATTTAACTCATTCTTCTTTACAGATGGACTTGTCAAAAGACTGGAAGAGCTGGAGAAAACGGCAGAGCTGTACAAAGGTAAAGAATGATAAGATTCTTTACCTAAACAAGTTAATCATGTAGTGTGAAAACTCCATAATCACAGATATGAGAGAGCTTTTAATCCACAGAGACGCTGTTGTTCTCTGTTTGCGTTGCAGGGCTGATGGAGCACACGAAAAGACTACTGAGGGCGTTTTTTGAGCTTTCTCAAACCCACAGAGGTCAGTCACTATATCCAAAATCACAAACGAGAAAAACAGTATTACACCAGTGGAATAATCCACTCTCACCCCCAAGTGAAAGTTTGCTGTTGTTTTTTTTTTTTTTCCCCAATAAAGGCTAAAACCTGGTGGAGCTTTTAGTTGAAACGTGACCATAAAATGAAGAAAAATCTCATGTTTTCATACAATGTCTGCTTGCTGATGGAGTTGTATTTAATACTTTTTGTTTTCTAACTTTAGCAGATCTTTGCTCGTAGCTATATCTGAGCGGTTTCTGGTTTTGTCCCTTTGCAGCATTTGGAGATGTGTTTTCTGTCATCGGGGTACGGGAGCCCCAGGCTGCTGCCAGCGAGGCTTTTGTGAAGTTTGCTGATGCTCACCGCAACATTGAGAAATACGGCATTCAGCTACTAAAGACCATCAAACCTGTAAGCACAGATTTAATTTATGCTTTGAGTCATTCATTGTACTAAAAGTGCACACATCAGTTAAAAACATTCATTTTAAAGAAAGCTTTGGAAAATTCTGTCTGTGTATACTTTATATTGTGTTCCTTAAATCTGTCAGAGTGAAATTTATTATGTAAGATGTCAGTTTTCCAGTGGATGTTAGATTTTAAAGTGTCTCTCGTTTTGCAGATGCTCCATGATCTGAACACGTACCTTAATAAGGCCATACCAGACACCAAGCTCACCATCCGCAAGTACCTGGATGTGAAGTTTGAATATCTGGTGAGACCTGCGGTGCTGTCACTCCGTTTACTGAAGTTCACTGTCAGCCTGTAGGTTGAATAACAGGACGGGTTTTTTGTGTCTTTCAGTCGTACTGCTTGAAGGTGAAGGAAATGGATGATGAAGAATACAGCAGCATCGTGAGTCTGTTACTGATTTAATTATATCAGTATGATATTGACAGTTGATGTAAAACTGACATTTTGATTGCAACATTTTCTTCCTGTTCAGTGTGTCAGATTATTCTTCTGAGGAAAAATTTGACCCCAGGAAAAATAGAACCGAAACCTGCTACTTTTTGAACGTTCTAAAGCAGAAAGATGAAAACATTAGAAAAACTGACTGTAAGAAGATGGAACATCACATTTGTATCTGCAGACTCTAATATAGATGCCCATCTTTAATTACCATGAGATCATTATGTTCCTCTCTCTAGTTATAGGGATGGTACCTTGAAGTATGAAGCTGCTTGAGATGACTGCGTTTAATCATGTTCTGTTTTGTACACAGGTGTTAGATTAGAGTCAGACTCGGTGATAACAGGTGTTCTTTTTAAAAGGTGTAGATTTACCATCTCAGCATGACCGCCTCTATATCCTTCATGCTCACAGTCAAACTTTAGTTCACCACACTGATGCAGCAAGTGCAAGGTTCTCAATTTCCCATAAGCACTCTGGGGAAGAACTGGCTAAAGGAGCAGCTTTCCTCAGATTTCCGCAGCTGAAAACATGTTTGATATGAACCAGTAAATCCTATTTTCCTTCTCACAGGCCATGGGGGAGCCTCTGTACCGCGTCAGCACTGGTAACTATGAGTACCGTTTGGTGCTTCGGTGTCGGCAGGAAGCCCGCGCCCGCTTTGCCAAAATGAGGAAAGACGTCCTGGAGAAGATAGAGCTGCTGGATCAGAAACACGGTCTGTTCTTGCTGTTTTTCACCTTTAGCTATTCCCTCCTCTGTCCTCCGTGGCCTGTAAACAGATGCTGAGGATTTAGTAGCATCAACATGTTGCTTTTGTTTTCTTTCTTCCTCGTCTCCAGTTCAGGACATCGTGTTCCAGCTGCAGCGCTTCGTGTCGGGAATGTCACATTACTACAATGACTGCTACGCCGTCCTGAAGGAGGCAGATGTGTTCCCCATCGAGGTGGACCTCTCCCGCACAATGATCAACTACAGCAGCCAGCCGTTCTCCTACACAGACGAAGACGAGGAGGAAGAGGGAGGCGGAGAGGGAGGAGGAAGCAGTGCTGGCAGACAAGCAGAAAACGGAGCGGAGAAGCTGATCGATGACGAATGAGAATGCCCGCATGCGTTTGTGTTTACTATCAGTTACATTTAACGTCTACACACTCAGCAGGCAGTGATCCTTGCAGCAGAAAGCAGCTGCAGGAGTGGTTAACACTGTTCACACAGAGAGGAATACTGATTAGAAATGCTGCTATGATACTGTATGTGGGTGTTTTTACAGTTATTTCTGTGGATTGTTAAAAATTCTATAGCTTTACGGTTACTTTATGATATTATTTACATTTGCAAATTTTCACTTAAAGAAAATCATTTATGGTGTCTCATAAGGTCATCACTGAAGGAGTGTGAGGGACACAATCAATTGAATGAAGCTTTATTTTGTTGTGAGTGATGTGTTTGGGTTTTAATGTTTCAGACTGGGATCTGTAAGCATATGAGGTGTGCCTTTGCTCTCTGTACAGTGAAGTGTACTGGGTCTGAGCTGTTTCAGTGTGGATAATATTTATTTTCTTTGCTGCAAAACCTGCTGCATCTTTGACTTTTATTTGTTTATCTGCTTGAAATGATATCACACTCTAAATGTTTGTCACTGCAGAGAGAAATTCTCAGTGCAACAAACCACTGGATAATTTTACAACATGTCAGGGTGTTTGTTACATTCAGCCTTTTTCCTCCATCTTTGCACATTTTAAGTTGTCCGACCGAGGTTCTTTTTTTTTTTTCTTTGTCTAAGGTGTCTGTTTTATCTTCTCGGGCAGCATGCTTCAGGTGGAGTGTTCACATTCCCCTCACTACATTTGCATTCCAGCTGTGCCCTCACAGTATGATGAAGAAACTAAATGGATGCACAGCTTCACCGTGTTGTAAAAAGGAATTTAAGAAAAAAACACTAGAACTGTGTAGAAAAGAGGTGTAAAAGCTCTTTTACTTTCTGTTTTATTTATTGTGTTTATCAAATTATATCTGAAAATTTATTAAGGAAAAGTTAATCTGATAGTTTATTAAACTGTTCCAAAACCTATCACTAGGGGGCAGTGTCGCATCAGCTCTTAAATGTTTCTTTTTGTTTCTCTGAATGCAAAGAAAGGGACCCATTGTTTGTGTTTCTTAATTTTCTTGGTTGCTTGCTTCGTACTACGTCATAATGACTTTTCGGAACTTGACTAAATATATGATAATTTTAATGAATATGCTGTCAGTTTATTTTCTATTTTAACTTTCTTTTACCTCTTTTACCTGTGGCATAGGGTCTGTGCCACATGAATTGCGCAGATGCACTGTCCGTGACATTGTAATATATCAAATAAAGTAAATCCAAATATAAAGGAGGGTTGTGTGTTAAATATAAGAATGTAATCTCGAAGCCTCTATGAATATGGGGCTTTTGCTTTCAGTTGTAAAACGGAACGGAAACATGCCAGCTGCGCAGAAAGAATTCTCTTCGCTGTAGACTCGTCATGTAACTCTGAACCTTCGAAAAGCTCACACAGGCTCCGGACTCAGGCTCTGGTACCTACGATATGAAATCGTCGCAGGGTGATTGTTATAATCTCTAAAGAGTTTCCTGTGAGAGTCACAAAGCCATACAGCCCCAGTGGCCTAATGGATAAGGCACTGGCCTCCTAAGCCAGGGATTGTGGGTTCGAGTCCCATCTGGGGTGGAAAGTTATTTTCTTTCTTTCCTTGTCTCAAAACTAAAAACCATGTACTCTTGTTTACCAACTATCTTAGTTGTTCCAGGAGCTTGTCTCGAAGTGTTTTCACGTGTGCGTACTGTTCCCCTTTTCCGCTCCTGGCCGCAGCCTATCAGGAAACGGAGCTCGCGTCACCTTTGGACTTTCCTTGCATAGAAAAGACAGATTTCCTCTTTACCCGTGCCACTTCTGTTCGAACCATTTCTATGTCCCGCAGCAGTTTTAGTTTTTAGCTCCATTCTCGCAGACATGTCTCCACTAAATTGCTTACATGCCTGTCTTTTATTCATCGTGGCTGCGACCTTCGCCTCTGCTGACAGTAAGTAGGACGAGTACATGAGAAGTCACTGGTGATTGTTTAAGGATCTGAAGAATCAGAATGTCTTTATTGTCATTGTCGCAGGTACATCCAAAATAAAAGTGGTATCCGATCAGTGCATCATCCATAGAAATATAAAAATCTAAATTAAAACAATAACATTTAATTAAATCACTAAATAAAATAAATAAAGTGCTAATAAGAATAGTATGAGCAAACATTCCCACACACATGCTTCAGTCAGTGCATAGATCATTTCAAGAATGGCGTGATGGACATTTTTTAGTAGCAGCATTCAGACATGTTATTGCGGTTGGGTAAAAGCTGTGTTCGATTCTATTTGTCCTTAAACTAATTGCTCTGAACTGTTGCCCTTGGGCACACAGTACAAACAGGGAGTGTCCAGGGTGTGAGGTGATCCAGTGATCCTTTGGTCGGTATTAAACTTTCATTTTTGTTTGCATCCATTAATTCATCACAGCAAATATAGAAAAAAATCCCTAAGTAGAGGAGCTGGGATCTGTGCCTCCCTTTTTGTTTATATTTTCATTATGTTGATGTCTTCTCAGAGCTGACAGCAGCCACTGTGTACTGGGACCCCGATCACAAGCTTGTCAAGTTAAAGGAGGGGGTGATGGAGGTCGAGGGGGATGCTTACGGGTTCCTGAATGACACCCTATCCAGTACAGGCTGGAGCGTCCTTGAGATCCGAGCAGGGTATGGAGAGACTCCTGAAACGGATGAGATCACTTTCTTCCTGGCTGGCTACCTCGAAGGCTTCCTGACTGCCCAGTAAGTGCTGTCAGTTCTTATTATAATCTTATTTCTTTCACTCAAATTCTGAGTCTGGGCATTTTGTACTCATTCTTCCTTTTCTTCCCGAGGCAGATGATGGACCACTACACCAACATGTACCCGCAGCTGATCACCGAACCAAAGATGCTCGACCCAGTTCAGAAATTTATGGAGTGAGTCTGTTCCCTTTTCCTTTCAGAGTTACAACCCGAGCAGCAGAAATGTCACATCTACTTCACAATCTGTCATCTTTCATATCCTCTTCTGAAAAAAGTTCAACCAAACATTTAAGCACTCTCAGCGTTGGCATTCAGCCACTCTTGACCACAACAGAGGTGTGGTCAAGAGGCGGGGGAGAAATATAGGAGTGGTGGAGAACGAACTTAACCTGCGTGTCTATTGTCTTGCGTAGTTTGGGAGATGATGATGGGTCGGGTGGGCTGCTGCGGGTTCTGTGGGCTCTGGTCCGGATGGGCCTGGGCCCCCTGGCCTTTGTGGATTCCAGAGAGCGGGGATGCCTCCGTGGGCTCGGTCCACTCTGGTACAGCTGGCTGCTGGCAGAGCCCACGGACATGTCACTGAAGCCCCCTCTGGCTTCTGCTCCTGGATGTCCTTCATGCCCTGGGGGACGGGGCTATGGCTCCCCACACCCTCTAGCAGATCGTTTAATGGAGAAACCTTTTGAATACAAGTGTGCTCATCCACACAGGTCGCGGACAGGTGTACACACGGGTGTTCACAAACACAAACTACACCTTTCTTGGCAAAAGCACATTGTGCGCCATCAGTCTTGCGTGCTCCACAATAACATTCAACATTGAGTATTTACGGTTACTTACATTTAGCCAGATTATTGCGACGGTGTCGTACTTATTATATTGCTCTCTTTTTTACTTTCTTTTTTTCTCTTTTTTTTCCTTCT